AAACTCTCATCAATCATCAGTCCATGGCTTTTAATGAAATGAGAAATGGTTGTGTTTGGACCCTTCACTTTAGCTTATGGTTAAATGAGGTTTGTACTAGTGGTAGTAGATTACTTCACCAAATAAGTAGAAACAAAAGCATTAACGAGCACCATAGAAACCCAGATTAGAAATTTTTTTAGAAAAGCATTGTCTGTAGATATGGTTTACCTCAGGCCCTCATTATAAATAATGACAAGTAGTTTAGCAACCCAAGGTTTAAATAATGGTGTAGGAACCTCAATATAGACTTATGATTCACGTCAATAGCTCATCCACAAGCAAATGAATAGGTAAATTCCACTAACAAAAGTATTTTAGAACCACTGAAAAAGAGATTGGATGAAGCTAAAGGCAAATAGGCTGATGAAGAGTTGTTTGGGGTACTATAGGCACTTAGAACAACGATCAAGATGCCAACATAAAAGACTCATTTTAATTAGCATTCAAAATCGAGCTAGTTGTACTAATAGAGATTAGTTTACTAAGTCTTAGATTAGACATTGTGATTGGCAGGATAATGATCTTATTCTAAGGGCCAATTTAGATCTGGTTGAAAAATTGAAAGATAATTCCCTTGTTAGGATAGTCGTATACCAAAAGGAAGATCTCAAACTACTATAACAAGAAAGTTAAGAGAAAAGATATAAAAAAAAAAGGCAACCTAGTCTTCAGGAAAGCTAAAACCTCGATGAGAGATGATTGAGGCAAAAAACTGGCATAAAACTGGGAAGCCATACATTGTAAAAGAGGTCATTTGAACAGGAACATTTAAACTACATAATTTTCATGGATACCTCGTTCCTTGAACTTGGAATGCTGACAACCTAAAAGTGTATTATTAGTGAATAACAATCAACCATTATGATGATCAATGTTTGTCTATGTTGTTAAACATACATGAAATAATGATTGTCAACCTAAGACTTTACTCATTATCAAATGATGTTAAAACTTTTTAATTGATTTTAACTTAATATTATCATTCTTAATTTTGATCACTATCTTGTTCACCTAAACTAAAAGTTGAATAATGAAAAATAAAACATAAGGCAGAATAAAAAATTGTGAGACGAGTTGAAATTTGAAATTTTTTTTCATTTATAAGATTAAGTTATTACAAAGGATGAAATTATAGAAGGCCTTAGAAAACTAGTTATTAATGTCATTTTCCTTAATCTTCTCAACAATAACATTATCCTCAGTAATCACTTCTTTTTCTTTTTGCGTGGACGCAGTCCCAATAAGTGCTGCTTCAGAGGCTAGTGTTGTCTTCAAATTCTAAAGGGAGATGTAAAAAAAGTCCAAAATGGAAAACTTGAACTTAATTTCACTCACACCCAGCTTAAAGGCATTGAGCACCTAACCTCAACAAATCCTAATCATGATATACTTAAACTTTAAAGTTTTTAAAGAACTTATCCAAGGCTTTTTTAACAGTAGTTTTGATGGTAGTTTTCTTAGTGAGCTCAGCTTACTCAACCTTTTCTTACAGATCCTTGTTCTTAGATTGTGCAAAGGTTAAAAAAACTAGTGCTCACCAACTCGAGGTGACATGTCATTGTATTTCTTTAAAATCTCATCCCCATTAGAGGTTATATATCTAATTATTTTTTAAAAAAGGCCATAATATCATGAAAAATCTTATTTTTATGATCGAAAACTTTGATGTCCCAATCTAGTTTAACCATCTAGAAGCAGTAATTTTCTTTTTTTGAATGGTTATGGTCGCTGGAGACTTACCATTAGTGGATGGCTGTTGCTTAGACTTCAGTTTACAAAGGGGAAAAAAGTGCAAAAGCTTGACCCTTACCTTTATTAGCAAGTTGGGTAAAAAGATGGATCTTAAAATGTGTTTTACCCTAACCTTTGGCAGGCTGAGAACTAGGAATGGCTTGTTTGTCTATACTGGCCATCATTAAAGAAAAACAAATCAAGCTAAAAGTTAGGCATTAAAATATAAAAATCGTAAAAACGAGAATTATTACCAAGGTGACTATTAGAAAGTTAACCCCAAACCCAGCTTAATTTAGACACCTTTAGAGGTTAAGCTACTAGCATCGATGAACAGCTTATCATATTGCCTCAAGGTATTAATGGCATAGAAATATAAAAGCTCCACGTCGAAGAATGATCCAAACACCTCTGCCATATTATTTATAGGGTTTTGATTTTTCTTGATCTCAAACCCCTCATTTTTAATTAAAGAATAAAATAAAACTTTTCATCATTTTATTGATGATGAGTTGGTAGAAAACCTCATACTAAGATAAGTTGTTACATAATACCAACTTTGATCATTAGGATAGTATTTTTTTTATGTAAAATTGGTTGAATAAGTTTGGGTTTGGAGGAGCCATAAACTCACACATATAATAATAAAATCGATAATATATCGCCAAGCATTTGGGATGAGTTGGAATATGGTTATTCTATAAACATTTACTAATTCTATAATAAATAAATGCAATGGAAATCTAAGCCCAACGAACATGGACTCCATGTACACCTAAAGTTTGAAAATACCTCAAATTTAGGTTACTTTTATCAGTAGGATTAAAGTCTTTGATAGAGATAGGCTCTGGCAAACCAAATAAGGTATTAAACTCGATAAGGTGGTATAACGTACAAAGGTTAGGACACTTTTGAGAAGTAGCTCAGTTTCACATAACCTTAGCAGGGGAAGATTTAAATTTAAAAACGATAAAAATGAATTCTTGGAAAGAAGTTGGCAAAAGGGATTTAGCCACATTTATGATAATAGGCCTAATAAGACCTTAGAGATCTTCAAAATCAGGGTCATCAACCTTAAATCTATAGGTTGGTTAGAGTCAAGGTTGACTCAATATCATTTAGATACGTGGACATATAGAGGATTATCATTAAAAGAAGAGGATGCTGATCAATATTCAAAGCAATAGGTACAGTAAGAGGGTTTGAGAAAAACTACCATAGGTGACCCTTACCCTTTAAGCTCTCATCCTATCGTTTAATTATTTTATAGCCTTATTAGGCATTTGGTTCAACCAATAAGCCATATTGGAATAATTCTGACCATTGATTACGGAAAAGGATAAAGTCTTCATAAAAAATTTTAACTCTAAATGGTTGACCTACTTTGGAAGGTTGACTTATGTCTACCTTAAGGTTGATAGAGGAAAGGATAAAAAAAGAAGAGAAAAAACTACTTGATAGGTCGATTATTATTTATCAAGTATTAAAATATATAGGGAAAATTAAAAAAAAAAACGAATGGTGAAAGAAAGACTCAAAATGAAAGAGGGATACAAAGAAAATATGAAAATCCTTGAGAACTTGAGAATGGCAAAATGTAAGAAAGGAAAGGTGACTACGTATATATAGGTAAAGGCCATAATCAGTGAGCGGCTAGGATGAAGCCACAACACCATCGCAGAAACTAAGAATGACCTTTTAGCTTTTTATTGTAAAGATAAAAAAATTATGAAAAATAACAACAAAAAATTATAATAAAAAAAGATAGATAATGCATCATCATTCTCTTCCCATAAAAGATCATATTTGAAATACATTTAAGCTTAACCTTGGATCACCTAAGGTCAATTGACTTTATCAAATAGTTTCAGCTAGACCAAAGAAATAATGCTTATCGAGCTCGAACCTTAGACATACTACTGACCCCATCAAGGTAATCTGTTGCCAAATACTTTCGTAAAACGAAACAAGGGAAAGATGAACATAGGTCCCTTTATCACTTCAAAACAAATTGGTCTAACGTGTCAGATTTTTTATGAAGGGATAAAATAATAGAGGTATTTAGAGGTCCAAAAGATAAATTCATCCTTTCATTATAAAAGTGAATCAGTAAAGCTAAATAGGGCTTTTTGGTATTTGATCCGAGCTGAATTGGCCTACTGACCTTATTTTTTGGAGTTTACCTCAGCACTACTAAGATAGTGTCCCTCCTGGTAAGCACATGACCATGTTGACATGTCCCAAAGACATTTTAGGCATGCCAACCACATCACTACTAGCTGTCCAACATCATACTAGTCGTTAGTCCACCCGACTGGATCCTTTTTTACCTAACCACTCATTTTTACAAGTAAAAATACCTTATTTTCCTTTAAAATAAAGAGATTGAATCCTAAGAAATTTTGATCTAGCATTCATTTTTTTCCTTTTCACCTCTCACCTCTCACCTCTTTTTTTTTTTTTTTTAAAGTATTGATTTGAACGTTAGAGCACAAATGTCAAAAACATTTTCAATTTTTTCTTCTAGCTAATTTTCATTCTTATGATATCAAATTTTTACCTTGTATCAACCTCGACACAATCAAGATAGTAATGTGATTATCATATTTTGTAATAATATGTTTGTAATTATTGTGTTTTGTAATTTTTTTTAGGAGTTACCAAAGTTCCTAACCTTAAACGCGAACATAATTAAGGTATGTTCCAAAAAATCACATTATAGACTTGTGAGTAAAATATACGAATTTACATCATTTAATATTTATTTTTATTTATTTGATTTACTCAACATTATTTTTTTTGTCGTAAATATTATCTAATTTAGATTTTAATAATAAAATTTTTGAAAATTGAATTTATTTTAAATATATTATTAATTAAAACTTGAAAAATACTTCATAAAAATATTTTTTAATAAAAGACTTTGAATGCAAAAGTTTTCAAAATTTAATTTACAAAATTTTAATTCAATACAATATTTAAAATATGAGTATCAAAATAAAAAATTTTGACGTCAAAATAAATTCAAATGCTATAAACACGAGAGTAAAAGATATATATATTTTTAAGTCGGCAAGAGTGAAAGAGTGTATAAAATAAAAATATAATGCAACAAAAGAAATACACAATTATTAATAAAAAGAGAAAAAGAGAAAAAGCACCTTTGTTTTGTTTTGTTTTTTTTTTTTTTATATGTAAATATACGTTTATTGTAACTAATTTATATTTTTATTTATTAGTATTATTATTATTGAAAACTCTGTTCTTTTTTAATCTTTCGCTGCTCAATGGCACGCCAGGCCCGAGAGAAATTGCAGGCCAAAAACCAGGAGTATATAATAACAAAAAACCCCACTTGAAGAGAGAAAAACGAAAAAGAAAAGTATTAAAAAAATAAAAGGAAGGTAAGACGAGAAGAAAAATCCCGTTGTATGTATTTTTTTGGCATTTGCAGTTTTTACTGTGGAGTACGGCTATGGAATCCAAAGCCAACAATGGAGATTGGCGTGACTGCTCGTCTTCTTCGTCGATCTGTAAGTTTTCTTTTTTTTCGAATCTCTTGTCCGGTTTTTGTCTGCGACAGTTAAAATTTGAAACTCAGCATTTTTTAAGGTTATCTCGGAAATTTTAGGGTTTTTGGTTGGATCTTGTCATCCTTCGCTTTGATTCACGAGGATGGGAATTGCTCTAGGGTTATTTTCTCTTTCATTTCTGGGAAAATGTACCAATTTTATGGAATGTGTTTTCGATACTGGGGGGTGGGGGATTTATAAGAGGAAAAAAAGGAAAATTTTACTCTTCAGTGCTAAGAAACAAAAAATAATGAGAAATGTGGGATTCAGATACATACTTTCTTAGTGATTGAAGTTAGCTCAAGTAGGTAATGGCAGTTATGAAATCAATCACCATGACCCTTATTTTCAAATTTTCTAACATCCCAAGTTTCGTTTTCATGGAATTACATTTGATGTTTGACCTTTATTGTTTATTGTGTTTATTATTATTGGGGAGTAGATTAGTGCTATAAAAGGAAAATAAAAAGAAATCTAATATCACCTCGCTAAAAACAAACCTTCTAGTTGGTTCCCTTTTAGTTTTAGTTAGGTTTTCTTATATTTGAATTTAAAAGAAAGTGAAAAAAATAACTATAAAAGGAAAATAAAAAGAAATCTAATATCACCTCGTTAGAAACAAACCTTCTAGTTGGTTCCCTTTTAGTTTTAGTTAGGTTTTCTTATATTTGAATTTAAAGGAAAGGGAAAATAATAAATGGTTCCAAAATTTATTAATTATCTTCTCTGAAACTTGTTTTCTTACAATGAAAAGAGCATTCAAATCTGGCATTTTTCCATTTTTTTATTTTAAATAATAAACCGTTGGTCTCTTTTGTTTGGATATTTTCAGGTTTCGTAGACTCTTGTTTCTAGTACCTGTGACTAGATCTATAGCACTTCATAATGATGGAACCAAGCTCAGTAGATGTGATTTTGGACTTTCTGAGGAAAAATCGCTTTACAAGAGCTGAGGCAGCTTTGCAGAGTGAACTCATTAACCGGCCTGATTTGAATGGATTTTTTCAGAAATTTACCCTTGAAGAAAAGGGCCCTGGCAACGTGCTTGAAGAAGAAAACAGGAAAAAAATAGCTGCTGAAAGTCATGGCTCAGGTTCTCGAAGCAGTGGTGATGTTTCTAAGGAACTTATAGTGAAAGAGATAGAGTATGGGGCTGGAAGAAATGGGTCTGAAAGCAAATGGAGAAATGCTGCTTCTACTGAGGAGCGTAATAAAACTTATGAAGCAAAAGTGACAAGTGAAAAGAGTTTCACTTTCTCCAAAAATTCAGAGGATAGTGTACTCAATTTGCAGTCGTGGAACTTCAATACTAGCAATGGTCCTGATCTTTTCAAAAATGATGGTTTTGTTAGTAGCAACAGCTTTTCAGAGCTAGAGAAAACAGATCAGTCAAGATATCGTACATCTGATGCTCCTGACACTGATAAAGGCAATGTTAAATCTGGAGAAGAGATTACCTTTTCAGGTGACATGAAAACTTCATGGTTTGGAAATACTAGCAAAGCTAATGTAGATTCCATGTATGACAAGCTTCATACCAGTGAAACTAAGGAGCTTGATCAGCAATTTAAGACTAGTAGTGCATGCTTGAAGGAAAACTTTGCTGATAACAGCAGATGGTCTAGAACTGAGGAACCCACTAGTTCCTCTTCAGAGATATGGAAAGCTTGTTCTGTCAAGACTGTTTTTCCATTCCCTAAGGGGGATGTATCAATCAGTTATGATCCTGCTAGTGCTTCAGATAAAAGAGAAGGAAAGAAGAAAGCAGATGCACTTGATGTTAGGGTAGCAATTAAGGAACAGGTGGATGAGGTTGGAAGGGCTCTATTTTTTGGGAAGTCTCAAGGCAGTGCTGAGCAAAAAGGTATCAATGGGTCGACCTTCCCTCTTGCATCTGATAATCCAAAGGAAGAGTTACCAAGGCTGCCACCAGTTAAACTCAAGTCAGAGGAGAAGTCCATGAATGTTAATTGGGAGGAAAAATATGAGCGTGATCGCCCAGGTGCAAAGCCCACTAGTGCTGACAATATCTTCCTTATGGGGTCCTATTTGGATGTTCCCATTGGGCAAGAAATAAACTCCTCAGGTTAGTTCACATAGTGATATGGTTACTTGATGATTTGTGCTTACAGCGATATTTGATTTTCTTTAAATTTCAGAGATATGTATGTATATGTGTGTGCATGTGTACGTGTATCTGTGTCTGTCTGTCTGTCTGTCTGTCTGTCTAAGCCTTAAGGACATGTGTAATTTGCGGTGATAAAAACTTTGTTAACTTGAAAAGATGCCATAATGTGACTTTTGGGTCTGCTATATCTATGCTCTAATAGGAATTGACACTTTGTGTGAGTTCTAAAAAGTTCTCCTAAGAGGCTTGTCAAATTTCTGTTGGTAAGTACTTTGTGGGTCCTAATCAACCTAGAGAAGTAAAAAGAAAAGAAATAAATAGCATGAAGAAAGATTACCCTTAAAATGCAAATATGTAAAATATATTAAAATAACATGTTGGAGTGTTTTAATTTGACATTTTATAATAGTTTAAGAGGAGTTGTATTTCGAGTTTTGCACAAATGCTGGAATTGTTAAGTTACTGACATTCTTTGCTCAAAATGTAAGCTAAAATTTTTTTCAAGTGGTCTTGCTAGTGTCGAGTGTAAAAAAAAAAAAAAAAATACGGGCAATGACAGTTGGCTTAATCTTTTTCCTTGCTCTTTTATTCATATTCCACTTTTAAATGTTCTAACTTGAATCTGAATCTTTTGGACACGCATAAATTTTATAGTTAATTGCTGTGGGGAAATAAGGGGATGGTTACTTTCGAAAGCATATTTTGTCATTAGGAAAGGGCTGAAGTGATGGAATTATTTGGTTGGTTACATTGTAATAAGGGAGGTATGGGTTGTAGCCAGTTAATAAATTCTAGTTTCAGGAATTATTGGTCCTGTTGGGTAGTGGGTACTTTGAACTTCCAATCTGACTAGTAGCTCACAGGTGGAATTTAATTGCTAGTTGGTATTATGTAGAGGTGGCAAACAGGTGTGTTCGCGTAAAATACTTATGGTTCGCATCACTATATGGTCAGGTCCTTTCGAATGCTGGTTGTTTAGGGTTAACTAGTTTTAGGTTGTTTTAGATTTTATGCAACCATTTCAACATGATTTTCGTGTTTGGGTTATCTCATCCTCAGATTTCTTAAGTTTCAGGCTTAATTTGTTACCTCTAATATTATGATTTATGAGAAGATTTCCTTGGGACAATTCAAAGCAGATTGGAGCTTTCGAATTACTGCTAAACTTGTCAAGGGAAAGCAATAAAAATTTATGCCACTCGCTTAATATCTTAGGTTTTGCACCTAGTGTTGCTATGTTACTTAACATGATCCTAGATGAAGAATGGTAGTTTTTAAATATTTCTTAAACTTGTTTTTGATTAATTGAAAAAAACCTTTTTTAGTTTTTAATTATTTTAATTACCAGGGGAAATTTTGGGGTGAAGGGGATAGGAAATGCTGGGAAGCCTGATTACATGGGCCATAAACCACTAGGCTGAAGAGTGGTGACTATTAATATATAGGAGCAATGAATGCGTATGGGGTTCTGATGATCTCAGTCCTACAATAACTTGATACACTAGATAAAAGAAGCATGAAGTTGGCTGATAAATAACTCTTGGTCTTGGGCCTAAAATAGTAGCCCAATTGCCTAACGGAAGATCTTAAATAGACTTATCCGTCAAGATGTAGCAACAACTAGCAAAAGTTGAAATTATCAGGATGCCTGTGTAGTTAAAACAGAAAATAGAAATACATAAAACCTGGAAAACATGGAAAATAAGATTTAATAATATCTATTCTAAGTTATATAGGGTCCTAATAAACCTAACAACTAATAAATGGTTACAACTCTAAATTTTCTTGATATTTAACTTGTGGTCTGCCTTAGGTATGACAAGCCAAGCCGAACTGATAACATGTTAGGTTTGACCTTGGCTTGATTGAAAAACTCGAGTCTTGACCTTAATTTTTTTTTTTTATACTTGAGTTTGACCTACTTGAGCTCAATGATTTAGGCTTGATTATCATCAAGTCAAACAAGAAGCTTGAAACTCGTTTGAGGCTTAAGCTTTGTGTAACTAGTAAATATTATACTTCATTCATTATGAAAAATATTACAAAATATTTAAAAGTTCAAAAGCTTGATTAGGCTCACAAGCCACTTGGGCTCAATATTAGAAGCTCAAGCTCAGCTTGACAATTGAATGAGTCAAGCTTGAGTATTCATCAAGTGAAGCTCGGGTTGCTGATGAGTAAACTTGACTCGTTTACACTTCTAATTTTGCATTGCAAAACTATTTGGTACCTTTTAAGAATGCTGTAAAATAATAACTACCCTTTGTTTCTTGAGGTTTTGTGATGTTATTCATTTGGTAATCCCTTGTTTTAAATTTTATGGTATTGTCTTCAAACTTAATGTCAAAGTAAACCTTAAGGACTACCCTCAGTTTTTCCAAATCTGCCATTCTGATACTTGATGCCTTACATGTCAGTTATATGATTTGAGCTAATAAGATCCTGCTTATTAGATTCACTTATTATCTTTGGGCATTATCCATCTTCCTACATGAATGACATTTCAGGAGCTTTTGAGCATCTGCGAGTGCGTAAAAAATAAGAAAAATAAGCTTTTGTTTGAGAAGGTCATTCTATAACACCAAACATCGTAAATGCATTTATTGTCTGCTAACTTTGTACTGGCTATGGTTCAAGTGGTTATCTCTTCTCTAAATTCTAAGTTCATGTTGCATGCTTAAGCTTTTGTTCTTTAGATCTTTATGTTAGGATTCAACTTGTAGCATTCTCTGGTTCCCTAGGGTTGGATGCTAAGCTTTCTTTGTCTGGCCCTGGATTTATTAAGTTCATAAGTCATAACTATGAATTAACCTTTTGTTTATCTATTTTATAGAAGTTGGTTATTTCTCTTATAACTCTGCTGAGCTTGAAAGTGTTCTTTATGATGATCCAGGTCTGAAAAGGAATACTGGAGGTAGTTGGCTTTCTGTGAGTCAGGGCATCACAGAAGATGCATCTGATCTGGTTTCTTGTTTTGCTCCTATTGGTGATGGGTTAAGTGAATCTGTTGATTATCCTAACGAATATTGGGACTCCGATGAATATGATGATGATGATGATGTTGGATACATGAGGCAACCTATCGAGGATGAAACCTGGTTTCTGGCTCATGAAATTGATTATCCTAGTGACAATGAGAAGGGAACTGGGCATGGGAGTGTTCCGGATGCACAAGAAAGAGGTCAAACCAAGGATGAAGATGATGAACAATCATTTGTGGAGGAGGATTCTTACTTCTCTGGTGAAAAATATTTCCAGGCAAAGAATGTTGTTCCTGTTGCAGCTTCAGATGATCATATAGGGCTGTCTGTAACTGAAATGTATGGCAGGACTCATGAGAATGATTTAATTGCTCAATATGATGGACAGTTATTGGATGAAGAGGAGCTTAATTTAATGCGTGCTGAGCCTGTTTGGCAGGGATTTGTCACAAAAACAAATGATCTTATCATGCTAGGGGATGGAAAAGTTCTCAATGAGTGTGGGAGATCTCGGCTGGATGATATTTGTATAGATGATAATCAGCATGGATCAGTTAGGTCTATTGGTGTGGGAATCAACAGTGATGCTGCTGATATTGGCGGTGAAGTATGTGAAAGTTTAGTTGGAGGTAGTACTGAAGGGGGTTTAGAATATTTTCATGATCATGATGTTTCCATTGGAGGGTCCAGACAAAGTCATCATGAGACAGACAGGAAATATATTGATAAATCAATGAGGGATAAAAGGAATACTGGAAACAATGATTCCAATAGATATGTTATTGGCAATGATAAAGGTCTGAGCCCCCTGGACAGGAATCTTGCAGATGGGGGATTTTCTTTTCCTCCACCACTAAGAGATGGGCAGTTAATGCAGGCAGGCCCTGGTAAGTCTCTATGGTCAAGTAACTGCAATTCTGCTGGCGTCGAACATGATGACTGTTCGAGTGCTTTGATGGGGTCTGATGATATGCTTGCTGCATGGAGACGAAAAAGCAGTGTTTCTTCAACTGCCGAAAGTTCTAGGGATGAAAACAATGCCAATGCTGTAATATCAGCAAATTCTAGTCCTTCAACTCTCTCTAATTATGGTTACGGTGAACAAGAGCAGACCATGAAAGAAGAGGATGAGAAAATTAGTGGTGTGACGGAAGAGGATCCTGGGGCATCACTTGAGGATGAAGAGGCAGCTGCTGTCCAAGAGCAAGTGAGACAAATTAAAGCCCAGGAGGAGGAATTTGAGACCTTCAACCTCAAGATTGTGCATAGGAAAAACAGGCATGTCTTATCTTGGAAACAAATCGTAATGATATGTTCTGTTCTGTTCATTCACTGGTGCTAACAATTTTCAAAATTGTGCTAATACGTAAATGGTGTAATGTACCTTCTCTCTCTCTCTCTCTCTCTCTCTCTCCCCCCTTGTGAGATATCAAGTATCCTTGACCTTTAGTCAAGCTCATTTTTTTTTAGCTTAAATTTGAACTAATTCACCCCTTGAAAGTTGAAACTAGTTTTTTATCACTTATTTTTCCTATTTCTAATTTTTGAGTCAATATTTGACTTACAAGACCATTGACTTAACTTGATCTCTAAATGGTTGATAGCAATCATCATTGGACCAAAAAGAAAAGGAAACAAAAGAAAGATTGTTGAATATCTCAGGTGGGTGCTGTGTTTTGTTATTGATGACATTGACATACATTGAGAGCTAAATTGCTGCTGCTTTTATGACCTATGGCATATGTTCTGGAATTTTTACTTGCCTGATGGTATTTCTTTAGTATAATTTATACTGAATAGTTTTCACCTTTCTATCAGCTATAGAGTTCTTGCTAGCAGATTGCCTTACATAAGTCCTCTTTTTGCTTCTCAGAACTGGATTTGAGGAGGACAAGAATTTCCATGTTGTTCTAAATTCTATTATAGCTGGGCGCTATCATGTTACTGAGTATCTTGGGTCGGCTGCATTTAGTAAAGCTATACAAGCACATGACCTGCATACTGGCATGGATGTCTGTGTGAAAATTGTAAAGAACAACAAGGATTTTTTTGATCAAAGCCTTGATGAGATTAAGCTTCTTAAGTTTGTTAACAAACATGATCCAGCGGATAAGCATCATATACTCCGATTATATGATTACTTTTACTACCGAGTAAGTTAATGCAGGCCATGAATTGTCTTTCTTTTTTATTGTTAATGTTTTTGAATGTTCCTACTTCATTTTCACTTTATTAACAGATAGTGGGTATTTCCATTTTTATTACTTATGGTTTTATTTATTTTATAGTCTTTACCATTGTATAGATGTATGCAAATTCATAGTCTTGACCATTGCCTGTTTTTATTGATGCAAACATTTATTGGGGACTTTGTTCTCAACATGTCTGACTTATGGAGACAAATTGTTTTATCTGTTGAAGTTCAAGTTGGCATGTTCAGTATAAAGGTTGTTCTCTGCTGTTAAAATTAGAAGGTTATCTGTTGGCTAATGCATCATAGTGTCCTGCTACATGGACGGCAATGCATGTGGAATTGAGTGGTAGCTGACTCATCTTTACTTTCCAGGAGCATTTGCTAATAGTCTGTGAACTTCTCAAGGCAAATTTATATGAGTTTCATAAATTTAATAGGGAATCAGGTGGAGAGGTTTACTTCACAATGCCAAGATTGCAGGTTTGTGGAAAAGGTGTTTTCTTCAGAAAAGCATCTAATCTACGTCTTGCTATTATGTAATCTTCTCTTAAATTCTTCTGTGCAGTCAATTACCATTCAGTGTTTGGAGGCTCTCCAGTTTTTGCATGGCCTTGGCCTAATACATTGTGATCTGAAGCCAGAAAATATATTAGTAAAAAGTTATAGTAGATGTGAGGTGAAGGTCATTGATCTTGGGAGCAGTTGTTTTGAGACAGATCATCTATGCTCATATGTTCAATCCAGGTCCTATCGTGCACCAGAGGTTATCCTAGGACTTCCATATGATAAGAAGATAGATGTTTGGTCCCTTGGCTGCATCTTGGCAGAACTCTGTACTGGCAATGTAAGTATTGGCCTTGTTTAGACATTAAGTATTGGCCTTGTTTAGACATTAATTGCTATTTGCTTCTTATGAAGTATGGCTATGATATGTCCTAGGTTTTCTTACACTCACAACTTTTTAAAATGTTTCATTTACCTTTTTCTTCAGAGAAGAAGTATTATAATAAAAGACTTGGAAATATCATGCATTTGAACGAATCATTATATTCAATAAAAAAAAAAAAAGCTTTGGTGATTTGGTTTTGAACTGACAGGTTGTAAAACTTTCAAAAGTAATCTTGTAAAATTTTATGATTTCTTTGTACTTGCATTCGGTGATGTCCTCATCCATAAATGCTGAATGGATTAAAATTTGAGACTCTGTGCATTTAGTTAGTCTCTGATATCAGGAAGACTAGTTGATTGGGTTGTTAAAGTGACAACATGTAAGTTTCCTGACATAAGTTGGCTCAAACCTGACCAAAAGAAATGTTTCTTATGTTATGGTATCAAGATTTAGATTTTTATGCGTTCATTCAGTTGCTATTAAGCTAATTAGCTTGTTCTACTGACAAGTTTGATTAATTTCTTTAGTTGAGTTACTGGAAAAGCATATTCTTTTACTGTACTACTATCTTTTTGAATAATTTTCTTGGAAAAATAAATGTTTCCCCTTTTTACCTATTTGATTTTTCTCTGTAGCTGAAAGTACACAATATTTTAATAGTTGCCGGTGCCTATTTAATTGCAACTCCTGTCTTATTAATGGTGTAGGTCCTCTTCCAAAATGATTCACCTTCGACCTTACTTGCAAGGGTAATTGGAATCATAGGTCCAATTAAACAAGACATGCTTGCCAAAGGACGGGATACATACAAATATTTTACCAAGAATCACATGCTTTATGAGCGTAATCAGGTGAATAGTTTCTTATTGTTTACTTGTTGGAGCAAAGTAGTTTATTCTAAACATTATTTTTGCATTGCTTCCTCTGTGTTGGGGCTCTCTATCCTATCTCCTTTTATAACAAGAATGCTGTTTTCATGTTTTTGATTTTGGATTAAAAGTGGTGCATATTTACCAATATACCTCAGGAGACCAACAGACTAGAATACCTGATACCCAAGAAGACATCCTTGAGGCATCGGTTGCCTATGGGGGACCAGGGGTTCATTGATTTTGTTGCTCATTTGCTTGAAGTAAACCCAAAGAAGCGCCCTTCTGCTGCAGAGGCTCTGAAGCACCGATGGCTATCATATCCATATGAACCCATATCAGCTTGAGTGCTCTGCAGATTTGCTCAATTGCTTGTCTCATTTCAGCTATATCTTATCGAACGAGGAAGGAGCTGTATTTTAATACTGATTGAAATTGGTGTTATCCACATGCCTGCAAAATGCATTCAAAGGTGTGTTTGGTTTTGTTTGGTTATATATATATATATATATATATATATATATATATATATATATCCTTCCCCTTGCTGAAGTAGTATTTGAATTTTACCATTATGAAGGATGTAAATTTGGAAGTGTATCCTTAGGGTTTCTTTCATCACTCCAATTAATCTGGTGGAAGGGGAATCCGATCTTGTTGTAAATGATGTGTGATAATTCTTTTAGGTTATTTAGTAGTATAGCTTATGAAATGGTTGGTAGCCAAATTTTGGTATTGGCTGCACTGTATCAAGTCTGGAGCAAGGCTAGAACTCCAACGAGTTTTCTTGACTCTGTGATTTGATAAGTGCAATCCATGTGTTGATTGCATGGTCTGGTTCTCTCTCTCTCTCTCTCTCTTAAATCATTTTTGTTAGCAAGAGGGTGAAATGTAGGGAAGTGTGCTGCAAGAGTTTCAAATATTTGATCATCCTATACTTATTTGGTACAATTCAAAAGTGCATATAGAAATTGGGAGGGAATTATCTGATTCAACTTTTTGCTACTTGTCTAGTCCTCTCCCAATCAAAAAACCAAAATGTATGTGTTTTTGAGTAATTAAAAATTGCGAACGTAACCTCTTTTTTCTTTCATCCAATTCTTTGTTAAAAACAAAATTAGTAATTTGATAAAACAAAAAACGAAGCAATTTAAACCCTCATCTTAACAAAAGCATGAAAAATTTTCTTTTGAAGAATTGGTTTAAGGTTTATACAAATTGTTAAAAAAAAGGAATAGATTGAAGGAAAAAAAGTTGTCATAAGACTAAAATCTAGAAATCGAAGGCATCAATGACAAGAACTGAAAATTGTTGAAGGTCAAAAGTTCCCAAAACATCAGGGGATAAAATGTGTAAAAGATGAGTTTTTTTTATATATTTTTGTGTGAAAGTTGGATTGTTAAGCTGAAATGTTTTTTATTTATATTTTTGAATGTAAAAATACTAAGAAAAAGTTACTTTTGTAAATTATTTTATTGAATTTATGGGACATTTTGGTTGAAGATATTTTGATTTTTTTCTTAATGAATTTTTGTTAAAAAAATGAGAAAACGAAAATCACCTGTCTTTCACCTTGATGATATGTATATAGGATATGCAACCTTCACCTATGATTATGAATGTGATCTTATTTATTGCTATTGTGAAGTCAAAACTTTTTTAGTTAATTTAACAAGTGATGAAAATTTAGAAAAAAAATTATTTGATTGTAGCAACTATAAGATATAAATGACTTAACGATGATAATGAATCCAATGTTGAAATTAAAAATAGTTTTGGAAGTGTGTTTGATTCTAGATTTTGAAATCAATTAAGCATATGAATATTTGATATATGCAAGTCGAAAGTTGAGTGTTGTGATTTTTTCTTGGGCATGAGAAGTAAATCAAGAAAAAAATCATGTAAAAGCAGGGATTATTGAGTTAAAAGATGTTAATAAAGGTTTGAGAAGAAATAATTCCTTCTTCATGGAGGAAAATAAAGCATTGAGAATAACGATGACTAAGTTGAAGACTCAAGATGAATGTGTAAGTCATATGTTTATTAGATTTAAGTCTTATGTGATGAAATTGTTACATTGAAAGTTGATATTAGGTACTACAAGCAAATTTGAAGCATGTAATGATAGATGGAAGAAGAGAAGCACAAGCGAAAAAGCTATATAAATTAGTTTTGATATTTACTTAGCTAATATTGTTATAATTGATATTTGGACAAGTGATGATATGATGAGGATGAACGATTAGGTTTCCCATAATGAATGTATAATGTATGCTCTGTGAACATTATTTTTTATTTGAACCTATATATACATCAACCTTGAATTTTTTGTGGTTCCATATTCTGTTTTAGCATTTATGACTATTTTCAAGTTATCATCTTGAACACTAAATAGAACATGTGAAATAGATTTACATAATGAAACTAGATAGAAGCAAGACATATAATGAAACTAGATAATTTCATTTCAAAGCATTGGCACAATATGTTATCACAAGTTCTTAGCCACTTTAGCACTACCACCTATACAATATTATGTTCAAATCCTATTATCATGGTATCAAAATGCTATCAAAATGTCGTCCAAATGGTATCAAAATACTATTATCATAGTATTAAAATGTTATGATTAAGTTTTACCCTAACTATGACCTTAACCATTCCTATATCACCCTTTTTTTGACATACTTTTATAGAAATAAATTTTGCATGTCTAATCGATTTACATAATTATCATTCTAAAACAATAAATAAAAATCTTAAAAGTTACAATTAGATTTGATAATTTGAGTATTTGTACTATGTAAAATACTAATAATTTGTATATTCGTACTATGTTTTACATGAAAATATAAAAGTACGATTCGTACTATGTTTTAATCATGTCGATAGAAAAATATGAAATATAATTTTTTTTTTGGTTTTATTAAACTCATATATAGTTTTTGCTAAAATTTTAAACTATATCTCCTTTGTATATATTTTTTTGTATCGTCTTTGTGTTGTGTCATCATATCATATTTTGAATTGTTAAGTCTATCTACAATTAGGCTTAAACTTTTTTTTCCTTTTTTTTAGATGTAGTTTGAACATTTTGTTGTGTTGAAATTGATGCAGATAATCTTGGAATAGTTATATCTCTAGAGGACTTATTTGATTTTTTTAAAAATTTTTCTGTCAACCATCCTATTCCTTTGGACCTAAAAGTAAAAAAAAAAACAATACTGAAATAAAAAAAGAAAACAAGACTAAAACATTCTCATATGTGAATTGGTAGTATAGTAGTAATTGATTTGGTTTATGGATTATCAACAATTAGTTTCTTGTAATGCATGACCTTGACCTCTTGACTCCCTTACCTACAACATTTTTTTTAAAGTTCAACAAAATATAGTAATATCAGCTCAATTCAATTTTATCTGAATTTAATCTAACAAGAGGAGGTTTAGGGTAAAAACTTATGTTAAGAATAAATATCCAGTGTCAAGATTATGGTATAAATCAATAATTTCTTGATATGGCCATAATTTTCGCTTCATGCTATGTCACCATTTTTCTTCATGACCAATAAACAGTGCCAAAACACTTATCTTTTGTGTTGTCAATTATATAATAATTAATTTATAACCTGAAGATAAAAAACTCTTATTGTTATTACAACTAGATGAGACATTTTTCTCTTTTGATTTCTTTGAACTTGGTCTTGAACATTTACCAATGCCCTACATGCACCATTATTCTTTTTTAATAAATGTGTAACCATAAAAACATAATGCATTCTTCAACATTTCACATTTATATACCTAGCCCTTATTTGCACTTACTACATTAGTATTTATGTTTGTACTAGGTATAAACATCTCATTTTGTCTGGGGTCATGTAAGATTAGTTCGAATTTAGCTTTGAAGCTTAGCTTGTATGGTGTTGGGTTTACCATTTGAGTTTTGGACTCAATTTAGACTTTCATTCTTGTAATTATCTTTATTTGTTGGGGATAAACAAAATGATAAACTATGATATTGGACTTAAGCTAAAGGATAAAGTTGTTGGAATTAAGGTTGAAATTAAAAAAAATAATGCATCAAAAGCCCCTTAACTGAATCTAATTTTTTTATCTTGAATTTCATTCTGTATTTAAACAGGACAATTACACAAAAATTGGATGGAGACAAAGGTCAGCATTCACAGATACATTGCTAGTATCATAGAAGCTTACCCATCGTTTCTCAACCTCAACAAAAAAATAACCTACCACCAACTTCCACCAAAGCCTATTCCATCAACCTACCACCTCAACCAACCTTTAACACCAACACAAATTAAGCATCACCATTATCACAACTCACACAAAACAACTTTAGTCCACTCAAATCCACAGAGACAAGACATATCAGACAAAACAAAAACTCAATAAATAGCAAACCATTCCAATTGACGCAAACACCATGATGACCCTCATTCCTAAAACATACAGTACTTCAACCATTTACCAGTTTCCATCACTAAAGTCATGACCTCACCATCGGTATCAAGTCCCCACTCAAATGGCTACTTGCAAGCTACATCACAATAGAAAAAAACAAGCAGACATAGTCAACAAAACAAGAGAAATACATTTTTGGTGTAAGATAGTTAGGGATTTCTGGGCACTGAAAGAAACAAGGCAAGGCATAAAAGTAAACAGAGAGAAACATCAGTGATAAAATTAGTAACCATAGTGATGATTGAATGGCAACCAATGTAATATATGGATGATCTAAATGGTGAAAAGAGAGATGAAGATGAAGGAAACAACATACTAAAATTTCAGTCAAATTAGATAGTAGAAAAGTTTGAAATGCTAAAGGAAAAATCATAGCTTAAGCTTTAGATTTGCGTTATTAAAGATTGACCTTTGAAAATCAGAGCTTAAATTCACGCCGAAAAGACTAAGAAGAAATGATGATGAAATTTTGGGTTGGATTGGTAGCTGGACTATGACCTATCCGCGACGGCGTAACAACCAGCAGTGGTGGCCATAAGTCCCAAAGAAATGGAAGCTTTGATAAGCGGGAAAGAAGGGAGAGAAAAGGGCAAATAAAAAAAATGATTTTTGCCTTTATATAATGCCATCAAAATGGTGTAGTTTTGTTAGATGAGAAGTCAAGCTTGTTGAGCTATCAAGTGAAGTTGCGAGTTGGTCCTTTCTACAACCAAGCTGAGCTATTTTTGGTATTCTTTTTTTGTTTCCTGATTTGTTTTTATATTTTGTTTTTATTTTATTAGTTTGATTTTAGATTTTTTTAATAAAATTTGAAAAAAATAATTTTAAGGGTTTCAATTTTAAAATGAATTTTGAATAAATAAGAAAAAAAACCTTACCAACATATTGGAGGACTTACGGTTTATTTTTAGAAAAATAAAGTTTTACCAATATATTGAAAAACTTTATGATTTTTAATAAAAATTAAGTTTTAAAAAAATAAATAAAGAAAAGAAATAGTTTTCATACAATCCTACCAACAAATTAGAAGATAA